ACTTTCTCCGGTAGAATGGCTCGTCTTAGTCTGTTGTCTACGATAAAATAGATTGCAGGAAGAATACTAAAACTTAAATAACAAGTAGAATTTGTCCAAAGATTCAAACAAGTTAACTCTATATTCTGCTGATCAGAAGACAAAATGGCTGATGATACCCCATATGGTATCCAGAGTACGACGTAACACAGCAATAAACCGATGACACCCTTGGTAAAACTGATCTGCGCTGCTGCTTGTACTGGTCCAAACATGGTCTTAATCTTTTGTTGTTGCTTGCGAATTCGACTTGCGGCCATTAATAAAGATCTACCGGTTACTGTACAGCAGACAGTTATCCATATCGATATGATGGTTATTCTCATCGGATAATAGTTGTCAGTGTTTCTGTCTTCTAAACGAGATGAATAAAAGTCTGTGCATTGGTTTGGCCAAGTAACTATGAATACAACTACGACTGTAATGGAGCACAACCAAACCAAACAAATGGCAAAAATAGACCTCTTCAAATCTAGAGTTCGTTGGTGAGCAAACTTTATTAAAGCTTGGTACCTGTCGATTCCAATCACAAGCAGCGTGCCTAGACTTACAAAGTTAAACAGACAGATCAGAAAGAACCGAGCTGAACGATACTGAAACAGAGAGCCAGCGCACTTCAGGTAGTCCTGATAGTTTGCTACGAGAACAGCATGTAATGGTAAACTAACCAATAAAGCAGCGACGTTAGTTATGGCTAAATTGAGAATCAACAGTTTATCAGGTGTCTTACTCTTCTTCCACTCCTTGTAGTCAACATAGAGTAACAGAATATTACCAAGGACTCCTATCACCCAGATGACCGATATGTAGGCCAGATGAACGACTGTTCCTGGACAAGTTTGGACAGGACTACACGAACCAGATGATGAATTACACCTGGACTCGTTCAAGAAGGCGTTAAATGAAAAATTAGTCGTGTTTTTGTACAACATTTTTTAACATTTAGGAAAGTAATTGAGAGACAGTTCCGATGACTCAAATATTGGTAGATTTTTAGCTACTAGCCTTACTTTCAACGCACACGCTCTGCTCTAGACTCAAATTGTACCATTTTTTCAGTGACGGAGTAATTTTGTTCTCTTCAATTTGTTAAAGCTTTGTTTTGCTCTTTTCCTGTTCGTTACAGGTTTTCTAACTGCTCTAGTATTACGATCAAAAGACRATTAACGACTATTTGTTATGCGTTTGATGGAAAACCGAACTACGGGAAATGAAGTTTATAGGTTTTTTAGTTGCTCTTGTATTACGATCAAAAGACAATTAACGACCATTTGTTATGCGTTTGATGGAAAACTGAACTACGGATGGCAAATGAAGTTTATAGTGAGAATTTTCGCTTCCTGAATTCTTAGTGAAGTCTGCCGAGAATATTGATGTCTTTGAACAAGCTAGTAATTTTGATCAGGGAAATGTTAACTAGTGATATGAAAAAAAAAAAAAGAGAAAACAACAACAATGAAAAAAATCCTTCCTAAGGGAATAAAAGTGGCAGCCATGTTGGATGATGTTCACTATAAATGGTTTGTAATCATTCCTAAGGGAATAAAAGTGGCAGCCATGTTGGATGATGTTCACTATAGATGGTTTGTAATCGTTCCTAAGGGAATAAAAGTGCAGCCATAATAACCATAGGTGGTTTGTAAGCATTCAACAGGTTAAACCGGCAATTTACATGGCCGCGCGCGTTATAAAGAAGTTTTCCTCTTGTATCTAGTCTCTCTTGATTGAGGGCCACCAGTTTATTAGTTATTTTGTAACTATTCCGTGCTACCCTCTTTAAATAAAGAGTTTATTATTATTATTATATTGAAACATAGCTCACCAAGAGAACACAAAGTATCGTAGTGGATGGAGTTTCATTAAATCCAGTAGCTGCTATACAGGAGTACCGCAAGGCACAGTACTTGGCCCATTAATGTTCCTACTTCATCGATGACTTGCAAGAGGATCTAGAATGCACTTTAAAAGTGGTTGTTGATGATGCGCTGATTTATCGCAAGATTACTAATAATACCGACACCTTCAATTTTGCGTCGGGATTCGGAAAAAAAAGCTTGCATGTCCAATATTCACGACCTGAGTCAACTCCTCATTTCCATAGTCAAGTTGATCAACTCCTCAAATACTTATTAAAGTTGAGTCAAGTTAATTAACTCGTCAAAGACGAAGTCAAGCTGCTGTCGTTTCAAAGAGTCAAATCGTCAATACAATATTTGATGTATGAACATTAGGGTTTCCGGGAATAATAGGACTGTACTTATACAGCCCAACACCGTACCTCACGAGTTTAGTCAAGTTGATCATCTCGTCAAGCGCATAGTCAACTCGTCTTTTGAAAACATCAAGTCGCGAATGAATTAGAGTGTATACGGCAATGGACTGTAAGTATGCAGTCCGACACCGTACCTCACGAGTTGAGTCAAGTTGCATGATCAAGTTGAATCCGAACTCGTCAACTAGCTTGCTCTCTTGCGCTTAGTCAACTCGTCTTTTGAAAAAGTCAAGTCGCGAATATGTTAATAACTGTGTTATCAAGACCGCTTGAACTATGCCGCTTGAATATAATTCACTAAGATTGAGTCGTTCAGTATAAATGTCGCAGAACTCCTTAAAGATTTTTTGAATATAGGAATTCACTTTTCCGATTAGTTTATTCCTCGGAAACCAAGTCTCCGAAGAAATCCGAAGGAATCCGAAATAGTGACCGTTTCCGAAAAAAATTAGTCCAGGCTGTCGATGTTCGAAACTCAAGGCAAGGTTTGTAACTAACTATTCATTGACATGGACGTATAGGAGAACTATCCGTGCTCCTGCGAAGTCAAATGGCGAGCGAATTCGTATTTTCTGAAAAAAATCGACCTCAAGCAGAACGTTAAACGTACCAAGAGTTTGGTCGGTCGTTCATCATTCTTCCTTGTCTATTTCTAAGGGGATGGAGAAATTAACGACCGAAATCACCTGAAATTGAGCACAAGGCATCAAAGCAACGAATAAAGACTCGAACTAAGGTTAAGAAATTCTATTCTTATATTTCTACGAGGGCGTATCAAGTGGAAGGGTCTAGGGGGTCCCGACCCCCCCCCCCCCCCCCCCCCGGGCCCCCCCCCCCCCCCCCCCCCCTACTTTACAACACGTTTTCCCCCTTTCTAACGTACGATATTACGACTGGTATAGTGTCACGACTGGTAGAGTCCTCAAGCAAAATAAAAGAACGGTTTTACCCTCTTTATTTATTATCTGGGAGCATGARTCATACGAGTCATTTTATCATTTTATGCTGGGAGTTTGCCTTCAGCGGATTTTGAGAGCGCACACGCTCGTGGGCTCAAACCGAGTGCACTTAACTCCAACAACTCCCACTAACTCCCTCCCACGGGAACAGTTACTTTCTTAAGTTATATGAAAAAATAATCCCAAAAATAACTCCAAGATAATCAAAAAGATTGATATTATTCTGTAAACCATTATTTATTTATTTATTTAACATCGCCTTTTTACAAATAAAATCAGTTCCGCATAAATTGATTGGTCGATGTCAAGGCGCCAGTAACTTCACATTTTCAGGCATGTTTAATCGCAATTTAGTTTTATCGGGTCCGACGCAACAATGTTAAAAAAAGCATTGATTCAGAAGAAGAAGAAGAAGAAGACACGAAAAGGAATATTTCACTTAATTCCCTTTCACAATATCAGTGCTAAAACTATCTTCCGTCTTCTTTTAGCTTAGCAGTAACCAATACCCAATGAATTAAGGTATGAATATATCCTTCACRGAAAGAACGTCATCTTGACGTCACACACTTCACAATCAAGAGATCTGTATGCCGGAAGTGAGTTTTCTATTGTTATGGTAATATGTGAGTGCAAGATGATTCACACACACAGCCACCRACGCACACCAACTGAGTCTTAAAGTGATCAGAGAGAAAGTATTCCACTGTGTTTTTAATATCTTGGAAGGCTAGATAATTGTTTAAGTGTTGAGTAAAAGAGTTAATTTCGAAACACATTGACGCTTGATTGCCATGGTGAAGAAGGTACGTAAGTTTGTCACGAATTAGGTCACCTTATAAAAATCTTTATTCATGCATTATTTTAACGATTGCTGTAACATTCTTACTCTCACTAAAAGCTTGAAATCTAAAACGACTTAGGCTTTAAAAAACTCAAGCTTCAAGCTTTTATATTTAATTCTTTAATGAAGTAAAGTTAGAGAAGCATTTAAGATTTTTCACCTAAATTTGGCCGTCGGAAGTTGTTTTCAAAATCATAAACTCACTTAAAATATCTATTAATAACTTTTATCAGAATCAGTACGTTTATTATGATATAAAAATAAATGTTTGTATGCTATTTTTATATTTTTTTGCTGAAAAATAAAATTTTGGGGGTTATTTTATTGCAGTTTCGTTTCATTATTGTCTTACGATACCGTCATCTCTATTTTCATCGAATCATTTTCGTCATCCGTGCGGCTTTCTTTATTCAACAAGAGTTTTTAAAATTTAACCAAGTTTAAAACAAAATCTAGCTTGTCGAGGAAATTCTTGACATTTTGCGGTCGTTGGCATTGTTTTTAGAGACAACTAAAGTGATCACGATATACAAAGGAAAGAAAATTAACTTCCGTTTCCGGTGTGTGGATTCGTTTTTGGGAACTCTCGAGTGTACCACTCGAGGCGTGGTATTATCTTGCGTAGTGTGCCTCGATCTCACCTTGTCTTCTCCACTCAATCACATAGCCACAGATCTCACATCCTTTATTATCATTAGTTATACTTCTAGAAAGTTGTTACGAGGGCACTGCAAGATGCCACTCGCCCTTCAGGATCCATGGCAAAAATTACACATCGCGGAATTGTCCGAGGTAAATGAAAACRAAAAGACAAGGACGATGACCCAAACGCTCGACTGGAAATTTCGAAATTCTTGTCTTTGCTGAATCACACATTCTAATCAGACCCTCGCAAACGTTATCTTGTATTTATATATAGGCACAAGACGAAGAAATGATGGATGAAAATAGAAATGGGGTAAAGAAAGGCTAAGTTATTCAAGACGATAGGCTCTTCAAATTCTTCTCGAAGGAAATTTAACTCAAAAATCTTAATTATGAAACTTGGCTTTTTTTACAGCCGAACGAAGAAGGTGCTGTCATCGATGTGACCGACGAATTAGAGAATTCCAAAGCTCTAACGAAATCAAATCCCAGCGAGTTTGAACTTCTAAAAGTTCTTGGCCAAGGATCGTTTGGAAAGGTAATGGTTTTTCCTGTTGAATGTATTTTGGAAATCATGACTACTGCAAATATGGCGCGAACATTTCAAGACTAGTCTTGACATATCCAGTGTCAAATGAAGTCTTTATTCTACGAGGAATGACTACTTTAATGACAAAAACGTAGACTACATTCTTTTATCACCCTAGAGCCCTCAGATATGTAAGTGTCGAGGTCTTTCGGGTAATATTTTTGTAGAAAAGTTTGATTGTATTTTGGTTTTTCTTTCGAAGGTGTTTCTTGTTCGTAAAATCATTGGCCCGGACGCGGGGACACTTTACGCCATGAAAGTACTGAAAAAAGCAACTCTTAAAGGTAATTCTTCAAACACAATTGACAATATRTTGTTCTAAACGTGATTAACTTCAAAGTTAATGAGTATTCAACATATTTTCGTCCTGAAAATGCCAGCTTTGCGGCTCTGATTACTTCTCGTACACCATCTTGAAACATTCGACTCCTTGATCAAAGCGCAATTTTTTTACTTCTCGAATAATATTATCTCTGCGATGTCCAAGCACTTGAGCAAAATATCTAAATCGCTGATTAAGATGAATCCGTTTTATTCAGTTTGAAGTGATTTTTTTTTGTACGATATCAAATGGCTTATAGTTTGTTGTTCAAGATAGGATTTTTTTCGCATCGAATTACTGCTCCTGTCTAAAACTAAATATTCATAACGTGTTTTTCATTTTCTCTTGTAGTTCGCGATCGACTTCGAACTAAGAAAGAACGAGACATTCTGGTTGATGTTCAGCATCCATTCATTGTTCATCTTCATTATGGTAAGAAAAATTGTACGATTTTCAATGTTTGTAAGTTAAGTGTGTTCAATTAGTGCAAAACAAATACTACACGACCYTGGTTTTATAATGCTTTTCTTTGTCACGAATAAATGTATATACATTCACTTTGCCATTTATTTATTTTTTCCCCTTTTTGTCAAACCTCGCTCGAATATCATGTGGAAGGTTAAACATTTYAGTGAAAATTAATTTTATTGAAAATTTTTCATAAAAGGATGTTTGTATCTATACCTTAGGGAACTSAATGTAATGTGATTTTTATCTTATCTTATTCATTGAAAGCCGATTTCTACAACATATCCTAATAGATATTTTAACCATACTACTTGACCATACACTAGCTCCACAATCTCATACATTAAGTTGAAAAAATATTGAATTTGGCAATTATGCAGTTGACGTAAAAGCTCTTCATATATAGTTCAAACATGAAATTTAAAATATATTCCCCGACAGAATAAATTTAAAGACAAGAAAAAAACTCGTTTTGTTCAGCACTAAGCTTGTAGCAGTTGCTGCTATGGGAACATGGATATATATATTCTCAGTATATATGTACATGGCATATAGTATAWCTAAACTTGACGTCAAATATATATCCCTGTATTAAATATTGTAATGACAGGGAAACATATAAACATATTAAAGAATAAAATGCCCATCTTACATATGCTAARCATTGGACAGGTGTACATTAAAAATAGCTCTTGGCTCTCAATTCCTAAGCAAACTATATATCCCACATGGATAGTAGTTTACTTTAAAATGAAAACAAATTGAATGTATCTTACTGTTAACAGATTATACTAATGTTATTTTATAACAGTTGAGTTTCCGGATGCTCTGAAATTTCGATTTACCATTGATCAGCATATTATAGATTTTTTATAATAACACTATCAAAGTATTGACATATAAGATTTYGTAGAGGTGTTTTATAATGTCCCCWATAGACCAGAGATYGTGGGTTCRATTTCTRAACCCACCATCATTTGTTAGTCAAATCCAAATTCCAAACTTTTTGCATCTACATATTGGACCGACTAGTTGGATTTGACTAAAASKATTAGTCCATTGCTAATGAGTAGCTAGTAGTTTTCATAAGTATATAGTTTGAAGGTTTTTCCCATTCCCCCCTACAACAATCAATATTTTCAAATTTCAATTTCGCCATTGAATAAACAAGAGTCATCAGTTTGTTAGGGTTTTGCTAGGTTTAAARCTATGCAATATCACCGTAGTTCATCAAGGAAAATGTATTAATTTATTACCTGCGTAAGGTGTAAGATATTAGTTGACTTACAGTACATGTGCTCTTTAAAATGATTGATAATTTGTTACGTTTATTGAGGTATATGCATGGTCATCTGATTCACCTTGGGTAATAGACCATTTAAGGAAATAATCTCATGGCTGTTACTGGATGGACTTCCTTTATTTAAATAACTTTTGATTACCAAATTACTRATGAAATATCTAAAACCTTTTTCGAAATAATTTTTTTCCCCTGATGGGATACTTTTGATTTCAAGATATGAAACATTYAAACGTTTGTTTGCCATCCAGCAGAGCCTTTCCCAAGAGACATTTGACTGATTGATTTGTTATCAAAGTGATATGTAAGCAGCTGACTGTTTGATGCAAATGGCCTATAATAGTCTAAACCCTATAGAATTTTGTTTTTCCTATTCACTATAGCTAAATAATGTTATTGCRTTTCACCAATTTGACTTCCCATTTACAGTCAACTCCTTGGAACCATCACTAACTTTGTGTCCGTAATAGGGATCATTCCCAATATTGATAGTTGATTATGGTTATTTCTTTGTCAGCATTTACAGTTATAGATTTTGCTCCTGTCCACAATAGCGAGTTGCCAGTTATGCCAGAATGTCCACAAAGCTAGAGTTTAMTGTAGTTTTAGTCATTGTTATTTTTCTGAGGAAATAAGTGTATAAATTGTGCTTCTAATCATAACAGAGTTGAGTTGTCACTTGTTTTAMCTGCAGGAATGGTTTTATTTTTCATTCTAAAAATGATTTGTAAACTTTATACTGTATATTTGACTGACTGGCTTGTTGTCATAATTTTTTAATTGATTGTAAAACCCTTTGGTAAATTTTGGCCTGAAGCAGTCTGAGATGAAAAGCTATTTTCAGAACCTTCAGTCCTGCTAGCAAATGTCAAAGAGTGGCAGTTAGGGGACTTTCATTAAGTCTAGCCACAAGTGGGAAGTTTTTGAAAGGAATAAGCTCCCTTAAGCTCCCTGGTATAATGTTTTCCCTTTTTAGATCACATATAATTCTCTTGAGAATGAGATTTATCTTTTGAGTTGTGTCTATAATCATGTGTCTTCTCATAGAAGACTGCTAAAAAAGTGCTACTGTAAGGAATGACACATGTTCTGAAATGATTTTACATTATGTCCAAGCTACAAAATAATATACRTACATGTATAGTCAGAAGATATAAATTTTCAAAGTTTGGAAATTTCTGTTTTTTTTTTTTAATTCCAATTTAATTCTTTTAAACTTTTAATCTGATCCCATCATTCAAATTGGCAACCTTTGTTTCATTAATGCAAGCTTCAAAAAAAGAAGGAAATGAAATTTCCAATAATAAAATGAATTTTTGAACCTTGACAGGAACTCAAGAGCTGGTTTGACTGTAATCCCACCAGACGTGTAGGCTGGGTTGTTTGGGTTTTGAAATGTTCTTGTTATTACTTGTTGTATTACTAAGCTTGGCCACCCACAGTCTGTGAAATTAAAAGCATTTAAAAAAAAATGTTGTGCTCATCCTAATGATATTTAGTTGTTACTAAGTAATCTGTCGTCAGTGTCTTATTTTTAAACCTGCATAACAAAATCATTACTGAAGCTAGTTGATTCCTGATAGAATACTTCCCTGAGTTATAGCAAACTTTAGAAAAACTTTAATTAAAGCATAGGAGATTCCCTAATCTGAATTAAAACTAAAGACTAGAGGTCCTATGGGGGGGGGNAATTTTGGAATGTTCTATTCTCCCTTGTCAGAATTTTACYCCTAATATAGGGCATTTTTGTCATTAATTCATTGGAACAGTCTGTTTTTTTTTGTCACTAGATTGTGACTCTTGTGTCTTCTTTTCAAGGCCATGAAGTGTTTTGAAATTTACCCCTTACAGGGCCTCATAGGAGACTCTATACTCTATACTCATTACTAACTCATGTTTCTCACTTTGGAAATCATATCATAATCGCATCACAGCAAACAATATTACTGCTGCACATGATGCAATGAAATATATGCTTCAACATGACATTATTGAATTTCAAACTTCTTCATTCATGCATATACTTTATCAGCCCCCAAAAAATTAATWAAAGGCTTTTAATTTGTCTAATTCTATTTCTCTTTCTAATTCCCTAACTTTGTGTTGTCTAATTTAGCATTTCAGACTGAAGGAAAAGTTTATCTCATCCTGGATTTCCTACGTGGGGGAGATCTGTTCACAAGGTTATCAAAAGAGGTAAGATTCAATACATCAAGGAAAAAGGATTTAAAATGTCAATTACCAAAATGTATCTTAATTGAACCTCTTATCTGTTAAAAGGATGGTGTTTTTTCCTGCCGTATCTAGAAACAAAAATCAAATTTAAGTGATTTGAACTTACTGATAAGATTAATAACTTATCCCAAAGATTTCATCTAGCTTTTTTTGATCTAAATTAWGTACTTCCTTTTAAAAATAATATTGTCAACATGTTTTAACCTGGTTTGCTTGGTTTGAACCATCTGATAAAAGTCTTTGAATCCTATTATCCTAATCCAAGTAGAGGYTGATGAATTGCAGACATTGTCACAATATGTGTTTTATTAGTTTAGGTGATGAGCTTTGTGCACTAAACAGGAGGAGGCATATCTTAAGTGCAATCAAGTATAATGCAATTATGAAGRAACTTTATTTTTTAAACATTAAAAAAACACCTCCAGTTTAAAATAAAAAATGAACCCATMAAACCTAAGATTACATGTTTATAAAAGTAAACTACTCAACCTGGGTTGAGCTCCTTTATTTCCTAGTCTGGTTCTCTGAAGTTTTCAATGGCCTTTTTTAATTACTGGTAGAAAGTTTATTTTGAAGATAATGTTAATTTATTGACAATTTTCTTAAACCCCCTTTCAGCAATATTTACTTCAGTCCCTCTTATTGCATGACATTCAGCTTTTTGTCAGGTTGTTTGAATAAAAGTGAAATAAAATATATATTAATTGTATATCTTACACRCTAGATCATGTTTACAGAAGAAGATGTGAAGTTCTATCTGGCAGAGTTAGCTTTAGCACTGGATCATTTACACAAAATTGGCATTATATACCGAGACTTGAAACCTGAGAAGTGAGTGATTTTACAGTACTATATTTGTTTTTTCAATAAGGAAGGTATATTATTCATGGAATTTCTGTGTCATACACTATAAACATTGTAAGCCAATGCCTCCCTAAAGACTTTGAGYTTGAAAGTTCAATAGACCATTTCACAGATCCCGCGGCTCAACCTCAGCCTCGTCAGCGTGTAACATATTCTTTAGAAATTGCCTACAAGCTGTGAAATTTTTAAKTGTTTCAATTGTTCAWTRATGTGTWAATTCCTTTCATTACTGCGGACTGTAGTCAAATTCTAAAGAATAGTTACACCCTGACGAGGCTGAGGTTGAGTAACGGGATCCATGAAATGGCCTATTGATAGCCATCTAAATAAAATGTCACATATATAACATAGGTCTTTAAATAATGGCCAGGTATCTGTCAATGTCCTGCCAGAATTGGAATTTGTCCAATCAAATATTTCCTTAGCCGGTTATTTTGACCARTAATGTTGAGGTAGAAATGAGGGATATATATAACTGAGRTGAAACATACATTTGATTGGCCGTTATTTTAGGGCCTATTATACACAGAAAGCTGATGGTTCGGGGTCTTCAACAATGCGCGGAAATATTATTTACTTTCTAAATATTATTTATTRTTTTTAGCATTCTTCTGGATGCAAGTGGCCATATTGCTATCACAGGTACATACTTCAGAAATTTTGATGTGTGTGAATAAATTGCCTAAGTGATTTTGATGTGACCAAGGTTTGACTTTTAATGATAATGGTGATTATGTGATGATGATGATGATGATGGTGGTGGTGGTGGTGGTAGTGGTAGTGGTGGTGATGATTTGATGATGATGTTGGTGATGATAATGATGATGATGTGACGATGATGATTTGTTGATGATAATGATGATGTGATGATGATTAGGACGATATGTTGATGATGATGACGTGATGGTGATATGTTGATGGTGATGATGATGATGAAAATCATGTCGTGTTGATGTTATTGATAATGTTGATGATGAAGATAATGATCATATGATGATGATGATGATGATGATGTGATGATGATATGTTGATGATGATGATGATGAAAATCATGATGTTATGTTGATGTTATTGATAATGTTGATGATGAAGATAATGATGTTGAAGATGATGATAACTGTATGATGACAACTTTGCTTATAGAGAATAACACATTGCAGTAAGATACTGATATTTATCATAAAAGCAGAACCTTCTACCCAACTATTTTATAGCTTTCAGTGTTGGACCGACATGGATATTCCATGGAGGCCATGGATATTCCTCAGAATGGTAATTTAATGTGAAAATATTTCTTTCTTTGACACAGATTTTGGATTATCAAAGGAAAGTGAACAGGACCAGAAGACATACTCCTTCTGCGGCACTGTGGAATACATGGCACCAGAGGTAAAAAGACCAGAAATATTATATTTTTAATTATTCTTGAAGCTGCCATTCTTTTTAACTCGTAGATATGTGATGTGTAGAAACAARTTATTGTGAGGGGCCGGGTTTGAATGTGCAAWTGTGTCACTCACTCAATATTCAAATGTGTATGTATCATCTGGCGTCTTCTGCCTATGAACGATACACAGTTTCCTTTCAGATTTCGTACAAATGTGCAAGCTTTTTTAAAATTAGTCTTATGATGTCCCATAAAAGGTTTATACATGTACGACGAGTGTCACAAGTTTGCCACAGGGGGTGTTTGATTTTCTCTTATTAAGATCATCATAACTGTGATGGGGTTGCTATTACTATTTAAGCTATGACTTGTGTAGCACACTTTTAAGGAGTTTACATACGTTCATTCATTAAATCTGGACTGTTACTATTTTAGCTATGACTTTTGTAGCACACTTATAAGTTTACAGTATATAAGTTAATTCATTAAATCTGTTCTGTTTTAAACAAATATTTCAGGTTGTGAATCGCAGGGGGCATGGACAGGCAGCAGACTGGTGGTCCTACGGAGTGTTAATGGTATGATACTTAATTCATAAAACATAGATAGATGAAGTTTATTAGTTTAGCAAGTGAGTGTTGTGATTCAGAGCATAAAATAATAGCCAAACATCGAATAATGTCTGGCCAAACATCAAATAATGTCAGGCCAAACATCGAATAATGTCCGCCCAGAGCTTTGATTTGTCTGGTCAAATTTTTGCCTTGCAGGTCATTTTGACCAGTAACGTTTAGCCAGAAATGAGGTTTGGCTAAACTAAATTGTGATTGTGATGAGCGACTAATCAGCTGTTATTTTAATGTGATTGGATGAGTTACATCATGTCCTACCAGGTATTAGGACAATAATTGGAAATCAGCCCTTAATGCTGATTTGTCACCCACATTCAATAAATATTATTTTTATTATTTAAGTCTGACACCTAAATATTATCTTACCGTTATCAACTGTTATGTTTAAAACCGTTATCTAACCATTACCTCATTGACCCTATTTTACCCTTATCTTACCGACCACTTATTGTTACCTTGTCGACCACTTACCAACCATTTATGGACCAACTATTGTCCACTTACCTGACCACTTACCGACCTTTTACCGTGCGGTGCAGATTGTTCACTATTACCCACTCTACCAATGAGCTAATGGCAACTTTCCAATGCCCTAAGTTACATCCTCCACTTCAAACCCTTAAGGCAACCTGTGACATGTACTCTACTGACATCCGACTCACATACCCTATCAACAATTTGACGAGACGGATTTTGTTGTCATATCCAGTATTAGTTACTACTGCTGTACTATGTATGTCCTAGAAGTAATATTATTATTTTCCCACTAAACAAACATTGAAACTATTCTAGTTAAGTATATTGCTATTAAGGAAGAATTTAATATAAGTTAACAATTTTTTTATCATAGCTAATATTTCTGGCATGTGTGTTTTGTTGTTGTTTTAGTTTGAGATGTTGACTGGTTCTCTTCCATTCCAAGGAAAAGACAGAAAAGACACCATGAATATGATCCTAAAGTAWGTATAAAATATCGTAATATTTTATGTACTTTATTACTGTATGATTATATTTACATTGCTAGTACAATTTAGTAGAATTGAGAWAATTCCAAATCAAATATATCAAAATATGGCAATTTKTACGACCCGTGATCCCACTTTTTGACCCCTTGAGMATGCRCTTAGARCAGTAGCRCRGAAYWCCTGATGCATGTATTGTATCTGTGGTATCAAAGTTTAGTCACCTTACCCAAGCTTGGATCCCTTAATTATATATAAAAAAAAACTATTATTGAAAAAATGTAGCTTTATTTTTAGTGTTTTTGTTATTGAGGTTTTTATTGATTGATTTTGTTATTGAAAGGTGAAATTTAGATTGTATCAGTTTTTAACACCCGGACATTTTGAACTAATATCAGAACTCTTAAAAGTTGGGCATAATGTTTTTCTATTTTAAAACTTGTATCATTCTCTTGACAATGAGATTCTTTGTTTGAGTTGTACATGTATCCATATTCATGGATAACGTCATGTGCAACTATTAAATAAAGAAATGACACTCAAGGCAATAACACATGGTCAGAAATGGTAAAACATTACACCAAAATGAATAAGATCTATATCAAACTGAAAATATATAACTTTTGTTTTAACTTTTGTTTTTTTAAGCTAAATATATATTTGTTTTCTTATTGAAGGGCTAAACTTGGAATGCCTCAATTCTTAACCCCGGAAGCTCAGTCTCTCTTGAGRATGTTATTCAAACGAAACCCTTTGAATCGACTTGGTAAGGGCGTGTTAATTCTTTTATGAACCAAGTGACAGCAGCTTCCTTTAATATGCTTTTCAGCACAGTATGACATTCATCCATTTCCTTAACTTTTTCTTAACATTAGGGGCTCAAAATAGCAGCATGCCAATGGCAAAGTTGCAGGTCAAATATTACTCATAGCTGCAGGCTTAAAAACAATTTTGACCTACCAAATTGAAAATTATTAAAAATATCAGGGGAAATTTTGCTCTGCCAAAACTTTTTTTCCAGCAAAAAAAAAAAAAAAAGAACCTGACTATTTTTATTTAATTTCTATTTTGCGCTGACATTGACCACTGTGGTACCACACCCACTGACRTCATTGCACAAAGGAAATGATTTGAGAAGAAAATAAAACTTGCTCTTTCAAAATCAAAAGGAAATTATAATTTTCCAAGACTGTTTTCAGAATTTAACTTWGCAAATGTAACTTTTGAGAAAATTTATTAACATGTATGTGAATCAAAGATTTTTTCCCTGAAGAGAAAATAACACCTGCTTTGATTCTAAATAGATTAAAAACGTTTTTCGTAGTATTTTAGGAAATCTTCTCGTTCTGTATTTTTAATGCTGTTTTAATGTTTGAAAGGTGCAACTGAGAATGGAATTGAAGATATCAAGTCACATGCATTTTTTGCTACAATTGATTGGGATGTAAGTAGTTCGTTGTTTCTATAGCAGGGGTTGATTTTGGGTAAAGGGGTTGGGAATTTTTTTTGTGGGGAGGGGGGGCTGGTAGGGCATGGTAGTATAAGGGGCCCCAGGGGAGAGAGGGGTTAGTCTAATGCRTTTACCACTCCTGGGTGGACGTCTTGATGCCTAACAGGCCTTGCGACCCAATTGATAAGGCAGCYGGTTAGCACGGGCACTGAAGATTGTTATCACCAGCGTCTTCAGTGGATCTTTTACGTCTGCCTTATACAGGGTTATGTAGTGAAGACAGACGGGGCCTACGGTTTTAAGTCTTTGTCCGAGAAGACTTGAAGGTCTAACCATTTGCAGATGTAATAACAAAGGCAGCACCTTCTCAGTTATTTTAAGACCTTGAGTGTTGGTCTGGCCGAGGCTTGAACCACGACCTCCCACACAACAGACCGACGCTCTTACCAACTGAGCTAACCGGGTGGCAGTGAAACCCCCCTTTTCCAAATCTTGAGAATGGTGTATAATATAGTTCAAAACTAAGCCCTTCTACTATTTAATTGCACATTATTTTATGGCTTATTTGTTTTGGTTCTTTTTGGTCTAGATGATCAGCCTTTTAAGCTTTCAATTTTTTTTACTCAGTCAAGCTAAACCAATCAAAGARCCTTGACTAGACAGTGAAAACTTTGAATGATGAAATTAATATTTAAAGATTGACAAAAAGAAAAAATATATTATTATTTGTTTTTCTTTTAGAAACTCATGAAAAAAGAGATCAAACCACCATTTAAACCTGCTGCAGGACGAGCAGACGATGCCTTCTATTTTGATCCAGAATTCACCTCTAAGACCCCTCAAGGTATGAATTCACAAGATACTGTGTAAATTATGCTGTTAGGTGTAACAGCTTATGTAGAGGCTTACCCCACCTTACTCTTGTTCCAAGGTGTGATAGGGGCATCAGGGTAGTGGTTGGGGTTGTAGCTCTAACGCTCTTTTGTTCTTAAAAAGGAATATTATTGGAGTGATATATGCCGCATGTTTACTGCAATTTCCACAAACATGCAAACTCTGTGTCTTCGAGTTGCATGCTAAAATTTGGTTTTTTGCTGCTGCCAGTCAAAAATATGAGAGGTACCAACTGATTAGGTTTGATTGACAACAAGGAAAAACCAAATTTTAGAATGCAGCTCGCAGACACAGAGTTTGCATATTAATTATGAAAATTGCGGTAATGTGCCATTTCTGTGGGCAGAGTTCCCACAAATGCACAATGTGCCTATTTTAGGCAAAAAATCAAAAAGCATAAATTGGGGGTGCTGTGCCTCCTCAGGATGTGCATGGACTTGGGAGACTAGAACCCAAAAKACCCCTGTTATGTATAAGTATTGGGTTTCCTGTGTGAAGTTAACTGGGGGGTCTGRAAGGCTCTTGGGTAGCTTTGTCAAMAGCTTTGACAAAACCTTGTCAGTTATGGAGATAATGAATTTCAAGCATGAAAACACAACAACCCATTGTTTTAAGACCTAGTGAAAAAATGCTCTGATTTTGGCTCTGTTACCTTTTCAGATTCTCCTGCCATCCCACCAAGTGCTACTTGTCATCAGTTATTTAGAGGATTTAGTTACGTAGCACCAGCTTTACTAGATGTAAGTACAGTAATGCTCTTGCGGTGTAGGATCTTTATAAAACCTGGATTAACAGCTTTTTCCGTGCTCTGTTCAGTAATAAAGCACGCAGGTAGTGGCATAAGCACAAAAGAAATGTAAGGAGAAGCACAAGCTGTAGTTGAGTGCTTCTCACACTTCTTTAGTGCTTACAACACTTCCTTAGTGCTTTATTACTGCATGGAGCACAGAAAAAGCTGTTTTTACATTTTATTGTATAGTCACTAATTTTATTTCGGTATTGAATTTATTTACATTTTATTTGTGCTCTGTTCACTAATAAAGCACAGTTTTCGGCCAATCAGTACTCCCGTACTATCGTAACTATTTACATTACATTACATTACATTACATTAATACCCCACCCACAGAGAGGGATTGGATGTTCCAAGGGGAGGGGAGGGTCTAAGGAGGGTAAAATTTTATTGTGTAGTTCCAGAAAAACATCCATGATTTTGACACAGAGAGGGATTGGAATTTCTGAGGAGTGGGAGGTAGGATAGGGGAACGGAGGATATATTGAGTATGTGTGGTTTAAATAGATTTTTCTAACTTGTTTTTTCATATTATAGGAAGATCTAAACTCTAATCAAAAGGAAATGAAAATGGAAGTCGATAACAACAAGGTACATACATAATTTTCAGAGCAAATTTCATTGCTATTAAAAAGTAATATYATAACCAGTCTATTGGGAATGATACCATGATGAAGCCAAGCCTTAGTTTATTGGGTCGAAAGAAATATTAAGATTTGTATTTACTTATTTATTTTTCCATGTAGCCATCAAAATCTCTCTTTTCTGTGAGAACTACGTCAATACTTGAAGAATATGACATCAAACAGGTAAGAATAGTTGGACAGACAGACAGACATGTAGATAAGTGAATAGAGGGACAGACAGACAGACAGACATGTAGATAAGTGAATAGATGGACAGACAGACAGACTTGTAGGTAGGCAGACAAATAAACAGAGTGACAGTGAGATGGACATACAGAGAGAGTGACAGACAAAGAGAGTGACAGACAAACGGATAGACATGCAGATAGGCAGACATGAGACATAAGGATAGTCAGATGGAAGCAGGAAGCACAGATGGAATCAAGAAGGATGCTTGTTGAAAATCTTGCCCTAACGAAAGAAATAACAGTGTAAACTTTTTAGCTAAAGGCTATTTGAATACTCAAAATTACAGAATGTTTGACCAATCTTTTTCATTTAYGGCTCATGTTTTCAGGAAATTGGCAGAGGATCATATTCTGTATGCAGAAAGTGTATCAACAAAGCAGACGGCCAAGAATATGCAGTAAAGGTTAGACAATAGACCTAACTTATAGTCATATTCAAGGAATTCTAGGGTTCCAGTGACTGTCTTCTTGTTACTGTACTCATTTCAATGTGGAGAAAAAAGCTGGGTCGAGTTGGCCTTGCAGTGTATTTTTAAGACTGTTTTAGGGAACGAAATAGATGGAAATAGGTTCTTGGAAATAGGTGCCCTTAAACATTTCCACAATGCATTGAAATGCTACAACTGGACCTAATTTTCCCCCACAACTTCATAATGGCTAACTGGCAGCTTATTTGTAACCTGCAGGCAATTTTTTTGGGGGGAGGGGGGGGGGAAGGGTATGGTCAACATGGCTATAGAGCCTTATATTGCACTAATTTTCAATCTGAAGGGTTGAAGAATTTTAAAATATTGGTAGGTAGTGGTATGCTAGCCCAAACGTGACAAAACTTCAAGTTACATTTTTTCATGATCAAGCAGTATTTTTTATACATCAAGTTGATTTTCATTACACCAAGACCCTTGTGTWCTATGTCTAGTCATTTGTTTCGCTTGTCTAGTCATTTGTTTTTGATATCAAGCGCAATGTTTAAGTTGACAAGCAGCCATCACAATCAAAAGTCATTTAGGTCTTTGCGATTTGAATACAAAAGGGAACGCTAGAAGCACTCAGGAGAAGATTGATTTCGATCAGCTTGCRATCGATGAACGCGCTAGGTCTGGAAGCTAGTCGCAGGGCGGGAGGAGGGAGGGCGTTGAAACGGGCATGGGCACTACTCTGC